CATGCAAGCAAAACACTCAGACATTTGAAATTTTAAAAATACATCTTGCCAGGTTGGTGGCCGCACACACCCGTAATCCCAGCACTCAGGAGGCAGAGGCAAGTGGGTCTCTGTGAGTTGGAGGCCAGCCTGGTCTACAGAACAAGTTCCAAGACAGCCAGGGCTATCCAGAAAAATCTTGTCTCCAAAAACCTACCTAATTGATTAAAAATAGAAATAAGCTTGTTGCATATTTGCTCATTTTATAGAAAGCAACTGTAATCTAGGCTGGTCTTGAACTCATAGCATTGTCCTGCCTCAGCTTTCAGATGGCTTTCTTGACGCCACACCACAATTGTAAGTAGTGATAAATAGTGATAAATAGTAACAGGGACAATTGCAGGGACAAGAGGTGAGGCTGTCACACCCTTAACGCACCAAACACACTAACCAGAATCTCTTTCTTCCTTAGTGAACAACGTACGGAGCACACCTGCCTTTTACTTCCTTTTAGCTTATCACAAGGGAAAACCCGACCAGGTACAGCACAGCCCTGTGATGTCTACTGGGGACAAACTGGCCATTGACCTGCCTTACATGGGAAAGTCCCACCATGAGGAAGAACGTTCACAGAGCGCCCTCCTCTCAAGATGTCCCCTCTCCCTCCGACCAGCTGCTGAAAGGCCTGCTGCCAGCAGCCGCCAGGTTTCCCCAACCCATGCTGCTCCTTCCTCCTCCGCCCCTTTGCTAACTCAGCCTTCGCTCGGCGCTCGGCGGTTCTATTAGCCCCCGTTTTTCTTTCTGGGATCACTGGGGCAAGTTGCCTGGCATTCGGTACCACCTGGTGACCCTGGTGGGTGTGGGAGAGAGACGATACCAGGGCAGAGCAGGAGACCCGGGCCCTCCTGTCACCATCTCCTCTGGCGGCTAGCCAACCTCCCTGGCTTGCCCTTCCCTAGAGTAGGGCTGTAATGTCCCCTGAGGGAGGACATTAGCGTCCCTCCCTTCATTGCTTAGAATAGTTGGACAACGGGGCCCCAAAAGAAATTTCCCCCAAGAATCCCATGCTGGGAGAGGCAAAGGCAGGTGTTCCATCTCCCTCTCCCCCTTTCTTTCTCCCTCTGCTCGGCCCCTCCCTTTTCCCCTTTCCAAATACTAAAGCATATGAGCTAAACCCTTTTCTTGCCTTTTTTTTTTTTTTTTTTTTTGGTGGCTGGGAATTCCCAGAGTGCTGGGGATGGAAGTGGCAGCTGGCTATCGGATGGTGTCAGCTCACACCACCAACGGTGGCTCTGGAGCCAGGTAGAGTTCCTAGACTCTGGCTGAGTGGGAAGAAGGCACCCCACCTTTTCCCAGAATCCTTTCCTCTTCTCTTCAGATGCTGACCCACGGTGTCTGAGTTGGGGCACAGGGCTTTTGTCCCTTTGGGATCTTGGTGATCAAATGTAGTCCTATGTGCTCAAGCCAAGCCAAGCCGTGGCAGGAGGCAGAGCTCCCTGAGACTGGCACTAGCGGGGGACTAAGGTGGCATGCAGAAGTCCCCTACAGTGGTTTTTCTACTTTTCTTTCTCTTTCCCCATCTTCCTTTCCATGCTGGCTCCCATTTGTTTCAAAACCTTTTCCTCAACCCTGTCTGCTTTCACAACCTCTGAGTAGCCTTTCAGGTAAAGGATTTCTTGATGGCTGTCAGGTCCAAAGTTATCCCCTCCCTCCACTGGCAGTGCTTGTGACAATGTCTTAAACAGAAGGACTTTGGCCAGAAAAACAAGCCAAAATGTAGGTTTCTGTTTACCAGGAACCTCCCTTGATCTTGATCTGCTCCAAAGGCCAACTACCTCAGGCTAAGGCATCTGCTTCCTGGTCGATGATACCTGTCTCAACGCAAAGCACACATGTCAGCATCTGGAAGATGGACTTGAGGTCATTGTGAGGCAAGACAGGAAAGCAGGAAAGACTGCAAGGCCATGGGAGGGAAAGCGTGAGAACAGAATCTGGCTTGCCTGTCCTGCTGATAGAGCTGAAAATTTTCAGCCATCACCAGTAAAGGCAGGGTTGCTCACAGAAGCAATCTGCATTTTCCTGAAGGCATCAAGGATGGTAATGGGCAGTGCTGTCCCGAGGCTGCCAACAGGCCCTTCTTTTCCCAGCCTGAACAATGCCTTCACACTCACCTCCTAACCTGTTTACACAAGAGAATTCACTCTCTTTTGTTTTTGTTTTTCACTTTGTTGCCCTGGCTGTCCTGGAGTTTACTCTGTAGACCAGGCTGGCCTTGAACTCACAGAGATCCTCCTCTGCCTCCAGAGTACTGCGATCAAAGGCCTGCACCATGGTGTTCAGCTGAAATTCAGTTTTATCTATGTTGCAAGGGACCCTCTTTGAGCAATGTTAAAAGGGGAGATGGGGTTCTTAACTCTTAAAGACGTAACCCCAGAGGCCCCCCCCCCCCCGATCCTCTGTCTATCCCCGCTGTAAAGAAATCTCCCTGGAGAGGCCACAGTACTCCTGAGTTTCTCTCCTTCTCCCTCTCTCTCAGCACCTTTTCTCCTGTTAATAAATCCAACTCTGCTTCATATTTGGCTTACCCTGATATTCCCTTCCTTGTCAAAGCCAAGGGTTTTGCCTGACGAAGCCCTTGGGCAGGCGTCAGGGTGACACCTCGTGTCTCTTGCTGGGGACTGCTAGAATGCTTTATCTGCTCCCCTTCCCTACATGGCCACACTGACTAACTCTCCCTTCGCTTTTCACTACCACTTCCCTCTTTAATTGGCTTATTGGGGATGGGTGATTAAGACTAGCTTGTCGGGCTCCAAGAGTCCAGTCTTTTACCTGAGAAACTTCAATAATGAATGAGCAAAGTCAATGCCCCAGCTTCAGGAGCCTTTCACACTCTATAAACATTAAAAACAAACAAACTAACAAATAAACAAACAAAACTAGGTTTAGCTTTAGGGGTCTTTTTTTCTTTCATTTTTTTCTTTCTTTTTTATTTCTGAGACAGGGTATCTCTCTGTAGCCCTGGCTATCCTGGACTCATTTTGTAGACCAGGCCAGCCTGGAACTTACAGCAATCCACCTGCCTCTGCCTCACAAGTGCTGAGATTACAGGGATGCACCACTGTGGCTGGCAGCTTAACTCTCCAAACTGGGAGCCACCCAGACAATATACGAAGTGATGCAGGTGGGAGGGGGAAAGGCTACAGTGTTTCCTACAGATGAACACATCCTTCATCATTCTGAAGCAGAGTATTGATCAGGATCCCGCTAGACCATCACAAGAGGCGGCTTATCAACATTCCATCATGAAGGAAGGAGAAAAGTCACACGGGAGACCCTTGAGATTCTAATCACAACTACTGAGAGTCGGACCTCGCCATGGTGACTCACCCTCCCACACTCCTCCTAGACAGCTGGATAAGGATGTTTGCCGCATTTCCCTGAAGAACTCTCCTTCCCCAGAGGCTTGAGGACTTGCAGTGCTGGCCCAACTCAGAAGTCATGGCTTTCTTCTGCATTGCTGTGCTCCAGGTTTCAGCCAGGGTTATACTTTGCCCCGTAGTTTTTCTCTTAAGTTTCCTTGATGCCATCTTAAAATTCTTTTATCAACAAGACTAAGAACCAGCAAAAGGGAACCCCAGATCCCCAGAAACGTGTCTTCCTCCATTCTTTGGTTAAGACACAAAGGGACATCACATTGGGGACACCTTGAGACCCCTCTGGTAACACTTCTATAAGCAACCCAAATACATTCATTGGCTCGCCAAGCTGGACGTAGTCAGAGTCCTTTCTTTGATCTGCCTCGTCCTCTTTCTCTGGGATAAATAGACATGTCTCCCCAAAAAAGGGCACACAACAGCTGGTTATCAAGGCTTCCAGACTGACCTTGGGACAACACACGGAAACTCAGAAACCACCTCAAGTCCAGACAGTTTTAGAAGTCAAGGGCTATCACTGCCTTATTGGGGAAAAGAGTGACAACCTTCCTGTTGGATGTCCCCAATGCTGTGTCAAACTGGAAATCCAGAGCCTGTGTTCCCAACCTCTGCGAACCCCCATACACACGTTGGCAGAGATCGCTGAGCAAACCTACTCCAGATCACCAGACTTAATATAGCCATCTTCATCAGCGGAGGCTAAATGGTTGACAGAGCTTTATTTTAAAAGGCATTGGAAAGTCCAGGTACACACCATGTGCTTTCATTGCTACTGTGCCACAGAGGCAATACTTACCCTCCTTCCACCTCTGCCCCAAAGGGAGAGCCCTACAATTAGAATGACGGTTTTCCACACTTACAGGCTGAGGGGAGGGGTGTGAGCTCTCATGCCCACACTGCAGTCTGGGGTGGGGAGGAACGCTGATGGCTACAATTTCCCCCATATAAAGCATTAAGATCTAATCTTACTACACACTTGGGTAGTATAAACCCATAAATAGGTGGCAATAAATCACTCACTTCAAGGGACATCAATGGGATGGTTCCAAAGCCAGTCACGGTGACAATATGGAAGATTACAAAGCTCGGGCCAATGAGACGGCTGAGTAGGTAAAAGCACTTGCCACCAAAGGTGAGTGCTTCGGCACATAAACACAAACACTCGATAAAAATAAATAAATGTTCTGAAAAAATCTTTAAAATTTGGAACAATCTTCTTTTTTTTTTAATGCAAAGCTGATAAGCAAAGCCCTGGCAGCCACATGACTGTGACCTAGCCCCGGATCCTCCTGACTTAGACAAAACAGCCAGCACTCCTCGGCCGTGTGTGCCAGAATCTCAGGAAGTGCTTAGACAAACACCGGCTTCATCTTTTGTAGCCCTGGTTACTCAGCACCCGGCATCTTGTCCGGGCCCCACTTGACTACCCTTCCAGGGGCCGCATCTCTTGCCGAGTTCCTCCAGACTGTCCAAGTCTTGGGTACATTGCTAGCCAACATGTTGCACGAGATCGCTTTGGAGGACACACTGGACCCGGGCTGGTCACTTACAATAAAACTCGGGGCACTGTACATACTAGTATAAGCATGCTATTTAAGTAACTCCTTTATTTTTGAGAACTTTTGAACGCTGTGTGTATCTATGTGGGGATGTGCACATGGGCGGGGTGCCTGCAGGGGTCAGAGATACAAGATTCCCCCAGGAGCTAGAGTCACAGGCAATTGTGAGCCACCCCATGTTGCTCTAACTCTGGTCAATGCCAGAGTAGCAGGTGCTCTCAGCTACAAGCCATGGCTCCAGCCCCCTAATGTATGCTTTCAATTATGGTTGTTTTTAATTATTACTGTGTGTGTGCACGGTGTGAATGTCGCATGTGGAGGCCAGAGGACAAAGAAGCAGGGAACCAAGCTCGGGGTGTCAGGTCTGCACAGCAGTACCTTTGCCTGCTGAACCGTCTTGCCAGCCTCTAGAAGCTAATTCTTGCAGGAACCAATTCCATCTCTTGCTTGGTAGGGTGGTTTTGTTTACTGGGAGCTCACATTAAAATCCTTAACCAAAACCCTCAAAACACACAGGAGATACACTAGCTGGCTTCCCCCAACTCTCACTAAATGCCTTGGCCAATGTGGGAGCAAAAACTGAAAGCATTGTTTATTTCTTATTAGCAGAACAAAGAGGGGTGTGTGCGCTCCTGAGTTCCACCTGTCACACTTAGGCAATAGCCAGGATTAGAAGTTCCTATTAAAGAAGCAGAAGGGACACAGTCTGAGAAAAGGCATCTAGAAAGGCTTGCACCAAATGCTGCTTCCCATGTGCCTGGCTGCTAGAACTTCGGCAGCCATCACTGACTTTAGCCTTAGGCTTATGTAGTGGGCTTCTGGAGGGAGTCTTCTGTACACCGTCATTTCCAAGTCAAACTGATGTCTACCGCCACAGACAGAGTCTATGCCACTGCTCTTCTCCTGTCAGGTGGGGCCAGCAATTGCAAAGCAGCTCTGAAGTTGGCCCAGAGGCCAGGCCTTCACCCGCCACCACTTGCTTAAGAATGAGGAGGAAGGGCTGGGGGAGATGGCTCAGTGCAATCATTAAGACCTGAGCTCAGACCTCCAGGGCCCACATAAAAGCTGGGCTCCCTGGCACAAACCTGAAACCTGGGTGGTGTCTGTGTGTGGCAGAAGGGGGGCATGAGCTGGATCCCCGGAATTTGCTAGCCAACTAGTCTAGCCAATCATTGAGCTTGGGGTTCAGTGAGAGATCCTGTCTCAAAATATGAAGTGATGAGTGACAGAGGCAGACTCTCAACAGCTGCCTCTGTCCTCCTGCGCATGTATGCACGTGCCTGCATGTAAACCTGTGTGCACACACACACAAGACTGGAGAAGACATCTTGGGGACGGATAATAGAGACACGTTCATGGGGACTCAGTTTTTCTCCCTCACTATCAATAAATAAGCCTGTCTGATAAGGGCCACTCTACTACACACAGGATGATGTCCTACGTCCTGTGTCTCAGGGAGAACCTGGCCATCGACCTGTATCTTACACGGGAAGGTCCGCTGAAACTGTCCTCATAACTAAGGGACCCAATACCCCTCATGCCCTTCCTGGGAGTGGCAGCCCCAAGACCCCACGTCAGTGCTATTTCCTTTTCCTCAGCCCCATTCCTTACAATGAAAAGCTCTGCCTAAGTCCAGGCATGGTGTCGCACATGGCCATTCTACTCCCATGATCACCAAAAGATGATGACTGATCTCTAGGTTCAGATGGGTTGGCCAATAGCAGTGGGGATGGAGGTGACATTGTTCTGCCCCTCTGCCTTGCCCTCATCCGGAAGGGCAAACCTGGCCTTGGCCACTGTGGTCATCTCTGAGTTGCTGGCAAGCGGGTGCCTGACTCACCCAATTCCCTAGCAATGTTTGACAGCGTGTTTGACAAAAGCAAGGGTGCAATCCCCAATCGGAGAACAGCAGTCAAGAAGGACTAACAGGGAGCTGGAGAGATGGCTCAGCACTGAGATGACCACTCTTGCAGAAGATCCAGGTTTGGTTCCCAGCACCCACATTACACAGCTCACAGCTGCCTGTGACTTCAGTTCCAGGGAACTCAATGTCCTCTGGCGTCTGAGGGCACCTGCACACCTTGGCACACATAAACTTACACAGACACACATACACATATCTTCTTTTTAAAGAAGAAATAGTAAGAGCCATCAAGATGATTCAGCAGATAAAGGCATTTGCCACCAAGCCTGATGACCCGAAGTCAACTTCTGGGACCCACATAAAGGAAGAAGTAAACTGACTCCTGCAAATTGTCCTCTGACTTCTACATTTATCACGGTATGCATGCTTGCTCTCTCTCTCTCTCTCTCTCTCTCTCTCTCTCACACACACACACACACACACACACACACACACACACACACGAATGAATGTAAAACTTAAGAACAGTAATAAGCTGGGCGCCATGGTACACCTGTAACCTAAGTGCTTGGGAGGCAGAGGCAGGAAGAAGATTGTTGAAAGTTCAGAAATTCAGGCCGGCCAGGGCTACATAATGAGATCCTATCTGTAATAAGTAAACAATAGAGGAGGAAGAAAAATGCGAGTGTTCACAGACACGCATGCTTCCATATTGTCAAGCACCTCTGCATACACAGAGGTCACTTCAACTCACATGACCGCAAGGACACCCACAGGCACTAGCCCATCCTGCTGGCTGAGTGTCCAGGGAACAGTCAACTCCCAGTGCAGCTTCTCTGTATCTGCTGGCTGATTCACCCACTCGGGCAGCTTCTCCCTAGACCTGCTCTCCTTCCCCCTCATCCCAAGGGTCAAAGCCTGGGAGAGCCAGTGAGGACACGCCATGGAGCACAGAAGCCCGGACCTGCTGGTGTATACCCTGGCTATGAGCCCTGGCCTCATGTGATAGCCCTCAAGGGCCAGGGCTTCTGCTTGGAGCCTGCTGGGAGGGAATGTCTGGAGGAGCAGCAGCTCAGCAGATTGCTGGACACAGCACAGTACAGATGGCAGGGCTGGCGGGGCTCTAAGTCAGCACAAGACAAATGAACAGAGGGCGGAGCAGCAGCTTCCTTGCAAGGCCCCTGCGCATGAAGCAAGTGTGAGGGACACCACCGTCACCTCACCCAGGTGGCACCTGACAGAAGCTGTGTGCGCTGGCTGGGATTCAGATCCACAGCTGCCTGGCTCTTAGACCCATTCTCTTTTTTCTGTACAGGTGGTCATCTGCGGGGGCATCTCTTCTGGGGCTCGGAGAATGGTAAACAGACCTCCAGAATAAATTAATTGCCTTCAGAGCAAAGTAAAAGAACAGATAGGCAAAAATGAGAAACACAGAGAAGAGGCAAAAGAACACCAAGTTCTCCCCAAACTGCATCTCATTTCTGGCTGGAAGAGGAGACATGAAAGATGCTGGAGACATGGCTGCACTAAGAGCCACCTGACCAAATGGCAGCTATGGTTTCTTGCTTTCAGCCAACAAGGTCAAAGAATATTCCAGAACGGATGCCGCTGCTTCGTTCCAACAGCAGAGGCTTCTCAGCTCCACGCGTCTCCAGGATGGCCGCCCACTGAACTCTAGGTTCTCAGTTTTGATTCTTATACTGTGAGACAGAGAGATTAGAAGCAGGTGAGGGAGCCAGCAAAGCAGGACTCTGTCATGTCACTCGGGTTTCCCCACCCTCGCAGGGGGTTCTGGGAAGTGGTGAGACTCCTTGGGAAGGCTGCTCATTGCCACATCTCTAGTTGGTGCCTAGTCCCTTCTTCAGTAGGAAAGCTAAGGGGCTCAGAAGAGGACGGCAGGGAGACCGCAGGTGTTGGGACTGACCATGGTGTCCACCAGGCCTTGTCCTTATGCTCAGTCTGGTTTGTGGGGGAGAAGTCCCAGGCAAAGGAGACCCTCAGAAGCCAGGTGGTCCTAGCCAGTGGCTGAGGTTTTTCTTTTGGTTTTGTTTTTCCTGTCAGGGATAAGGCCCAGGGGCTTTTGTGCTAGGCAAGCAATCTACCACTGAGCTCTACGCCCTGTCAAAACCTGAGTTTTACAAAGTGGATTTTAAACCCCACATCTGGAGCATCTGAGCTGGGAGAATGAGGATCTGGGGGAACAACCCAGATCTGCACATCCTCACGGCCTTCCCCCACCTAGGGTCTAGGTGTTGGTCCTAGATTGACCAAGTTTTTGCTTCACACAAACTCTGACCACCCGGGAAGAGGCAACCTCAAGTTAGGAATTGCTTCCATCAGGCTGGCCTGTATCTGTCTGTAAGACATCTTCTTAACAAATGGTTGATAGGGGAGGGTCCAGCCTTCTGTACCACCACTGGGCAGGTGGTCCTGGGCTGTGTAAGAAAGCTGAGCAGACCTCAGGAAGCAGGCCAGTTAGAGGCTTTCCTCTGTGGTCTCTGCTTCAGTTCCTGCTTTGGCTTCCCTTGCAGATGGATTGTAGCCTGTAGGCCAAATAACCCTTTTCCTGCCCCCAGGTGGTTTCTGTCAGTGTTTTAGCACAGTGACGGAGAACAAACTAAGATACCACCCCCAAGACAGCCTCCCTCCAAGCCAAATAAGGCCGTGCTGTGACAGACAGTAGAGCTGTCCCTCCCTGTGCCTGTGTCAACTCAGCCAGCACTGCAGGTAGTGCGGGGACATGGCCTTTCAGAATTAAGGATGATGGGCCGGCTCTGTTTTCAACTGTGATGCACCGGCGTCCCCTAGCGGCCGAGGTGATTACAGCAGCCCTGCTCCAGCGCACAGGCAGACGCCAGAGCCAAGCAAGCACTGACCTTGTTCATGATCCAGTCGGCATCTTCAATGGCTCTTTTAATAATCTGCTGGATTCTCTCAGGGTTGTCTTCATCTGAGTGAACCCGGAAACTCTGTAAGTTTCAGCATAAAAGAACACGGCCAAGTGAAGTTCAGAGCTTCAGAGCACAGTCCCAAGAGGCTGTGGGAGTCACCTCTTCGCCCCGCTGAGATGCTCTGGTCCCTGCCCATTTGGAGATGAGGCTAGGAAAGCCAGACCCTGCGGCTCTTACACGGTCCTAGTCTATTTAACAGAATAACTGGCTGGGCCGCCAGCAGGGAGAGTCACTGGGCCCACAGGTTATCTGGCCAGGGGGAGCCACCAATCTCTGGGTTTGATTGCTCAGCCTAGGAATCTTTGTCGATCCAAGTGTTCCGGGATGGGATTAGCCTCCCCTCCCCCAACCCCACGCCAGGTGCCATGTTGGGAAAGGGAGGGAAGGCAGAGGGTCCTGGGTTCGTGTGTGTGCCCCCCCTTACCTGTGCTCCCAGCCCCACAATCTCGTCCCAGGAGCCCACTTTGTGCCACATCCGGGAAGTCTTCCCTGATTCCCCCAAAGCTAATTACTCCCTTCTGTTTTCCCACAACCTCCTATTGCTACCACTGTTTCTCTTTTGCTTCTGAGACAGTGTCTCACTATGTAGCCCTGGCTAGCCTGGGACTCACTATGTAGACCAGGATGGCCTTGAACTCTGAGAGATCCATCTGCCTCTGCCTCTTGAGTGCTGGGATTAAAGATGTGCTCCACCACCACAAGATGTTTTTCTTTTCCGGATCTATACGAAGTTTAGTTTGAAGCTCTTTATTTGGAACTGATTATGACATTTTGTTTGTGGTATAGGTGTTTCACCTGTGTGCATGTCTGTGAGCCATGTGCACGCGGTGCACAGGTGGCTGAGAATAGAACCTGGGTCCTCTGGAAGAGCTGCCAGCGTTCTTAACTTCTGAGCAGCTCCCCAGCCCCGGAAGTGATTTCTCATAGAGGTAAAGTGCACAAGCTCCCGACCTCCCCATTGTTGAGGCTTGCCTCTCTCTGGCTTTATCTTCCTCTGTACCGAATCATCTAAGTTACAGGCACAGTGCCCTGTCCCCTAAACCTTCACTGTGTGTTTCCTAACAAAGAGACGCTCTGATTGAACACAGCAATCAAACTCAGGAAAACTAGCATCGCTACAACCATTACCAGCTCCACAGCCGGCGGTGGTCCATAAAACTTTGTTCTGATTTTATTTATTCATTGTTTTTAAAGACAGGTTCTCTCACTGGGACCTAGGACTTGCCATCCTGTCTCTGCCTCCCCAGTGCTGGGATTGTAAGCGCAGGCCTCCCCTCCGGCCTTTGCTGGGTGCTGAACTCTGGCCCTCATGCTCACATGGCCAACACTTTATCAACCGAGTTACCTCTCCCGCCTCTACCCAGTCTATTTTAAGATCCCTGGAGCTGTCTCATTCAGGCCCCAACCCAGCGTGAGATGCCAGCTGAGGCAACCTCTGTGCCGCAGACCAGCTGCCCACTTCTGCAGTGCTTCTTATGAAACTTCTCGGCCACTCCCCGGGACCTGTGCCCCCAGTCCCCAGCAGACACCTCCCCCAGACTGCTCCCACCTGCCTGACAGCATGCTTGTAGTATTCCTGGATGCCCTTGGTTGGCAGCTGCCGGCAACAACGAAGCAAGTAACGGTACAGCTGCAGTGATGTCTGGACCAGCTCTGCCCCCAGAAGCGGGGCCATCTGTGAACCCCAGTCCTGAAAAACACGGAACATCACTTTCTTAGCCATCAGGCCAGCCCCACGGCGGCCCTGGCCTCCAGTCCCAGCCCTCTGTGAGCCAACTGCACAGAAGCGAGGCCCCCTTGTGGCACAGCCCCGGAAGCCTACACCCTGGGCACAGAGCAGGCCCAAGAAGACCCAATGCAAGTATAGAGAGAGATGCGCCACCTCGACCAGAGCCTTTCTAAAGCATGGCATCAGGCAGGAGGTGAAGAGGGGAAATGAGCAGAAAACCCCAGGTGGCAATCAAGGCTGCCAAGCACATCCTAGTGAGGGCATCAGGCAGAAGGGCAAGAAGCCCAAAAGTCCAAACCTGGCTAGTGAAAGCATTGTTTCCAAAGCCACACGCACCGGCAAGATGGAAAGACCAAGGAGCTTATCAAAATCACAGTCTTGGGCCCGAGCCAGGTAGACACACGTCAATGAGACACTCAGCAGATCGGAACGGACAGCATGGCTCCCATGAAGAAGCACCTCTCGTGGAGCAGCCACGGGGAAGCCAGAACCACGTACGTGACTTCATTTTGCTGAGTCGTTAATAACAATGAGCACGACATTCCTAATTTGATGCAAATGTATGAAACCTAAGCACAGAGAGGTCAGGTAACTTGCCCCCGCTCACACAGCTGGTAAAAGGTCCATCTGAGATTTAAATGTTGGCAGTCTAACTCCAGGATCCAATTTTAAAAGGGGGGAGGGGCCTGCGAAGTGAGTGGATGGCTGGAGGTGGCCCTGACAGAAGCCCTGACAGGCTGTCATCTTCCACCCATAAAAGTGTGATGGCACATACTCGTGGCCACACGTGTGCATGCACACAAAACAGGCACAAGTTTTGTTTTACTTTTTAAAAATAAACTGGGTTGTGGTAGCACTTCAATTCCAAAGCTTGGAAGGCAGAGGCAAGCAGCCTTCTGTCAGTTCCAGGCCGGTCAAGACTGTAGTGAGACACCGCCTCAAGAACAAGGTTTTGTTTGTTTGGTTGCTTTAGGGGGCAGAGAGACGGGTCAGCAGTTAAGAGTAGTTGCTACTCTTGTGGAGGACCGGGTTCAGTTCCCAGCACCCACATGGCTGCTCACAACTGTCTGTTACTCCAGTTCTATCCAGGATCCAGTGCCTCTTCTAGCCTCCAGAGACACCACACACACACACACACACACACACACACACACACACACACACGCGCGCGCGCACGCGCACACACACAGGGAGGCAAACACACCTGCCTGTAAAATAAAATGTAATTTACAATCTGTTAAGTATTAGAAAAGGGTGCTATTAACATACAAATGCTGCACGCGCTCGCAGAGAGCCATCTGGCAACTTTCCACCCTGTCCACCTCTTCAGAAACCGCAACCAAGAGAATGCTTATCCACCAAGACGACCTCTGTGCTCGCCCTCCAGCTCACTTCCCACCGTCCAGCAGCTGCTGCCCGCCTGCCTATCCCGAGTTTGTGTAAATGCAACAGTCTACCAGGCTTCCCTTTGTGTTTAGGGAATCCATTTGTTTATCTACCCATCTACTTATTATTTATGTTTTTCAAGATAGGCTTTCTCTGTGTAGCCCTGGCTGTCCTGAAACTCACTCTGTAGACCAGGCTGACCTCAAACTCAGAGATCTCCTTCTAAGTGCTAAGATTAAAGGAGTGCACCAGACTTGAATCTCTTTTTTAGCTATTATATAAGTCATAAGAATTATACACATTCATAGAGTACCATAGGATATTTTAAAACATGTTTATATTGTAATTTTTAAAAATTTATTTTTTAAAAGATTTATTATGTATATAATATTCTGCCTGCATGTATACCTGCACGCCAGAAGAGGGCACCAGATCTCAGTATAGATGGTTGTGAGCCACCATGTGGTTGCTGGGACTCATGACCTCTAGAAGAGCAAACATTCCCGGCCCCAATTAACCTCCAGCCCCAATTTATTTTTTTTTTAATTATAATATGAATGTGTCTATGGAAGGGGATGCACTCGTGAGTGCTGGTGACCAAAGAGGCCAGAAGCATTGGATTCCCTGGAACTGGAGTGACAGGTGATTGTAAACCTCCTGAGGAAGAGTCTGAACACAGAACTCAGATCCTCTGGAAGAATAGTATGCACTCTTAATCACACCATCATGTGTTTTCTCCCAGAAGAACCCATACTCAAGATGAACTTTTTCTTTGTGTGTGTGTGTGTGTGTGCGCGCGCACGCGCGCGCACACGCGCGCACGCACCATGGCTCACATGTGACAGTTAGAGGACAACTTGCAGGAGTCAGTGCTCTTTCCAGATGGGCCTCAGGCTTAGAGGGAGACACCTACCTTCACCTGACTGAGCCATCTCATTGGCCCAACTTTTTTTTTTTTTTTTTTTTTTAAGGAGAGTACAGGTGTTTCTAAATGGTAGGTTCTAGAATACAGATGTTACCCTTCCATTTAGTGCATCCAGCCCTAATGTTGCCTGTGTGCCTACTTCTCTTGCCTGAGCTGTGTCATAGCACCCTGCCTGGCACCCCACTGTCACTCCAGTCTCTTTCACACTTCACACTGAGAGAGTTCTGACCCCCTGTTCCGATGCATCACCCACATCAGCCCCAAGAATCTTCCCTAGAATCTCCAGCTATCAAGGACTCAGTTCTCTACAGCCCTGCATGTCAGTGGCTCCCCCTTCTCACTTCCCCTCACCCCTGCCCCACAGGAGGCTCTCACAACTGAGCTGGGCCTATGCCTTAGCACTGTGCTGGGCCTTCAGCAGGCTTCACACTGGATGAACTGAAACCCTGGGTCCATTATCTCCTCAGCATGGGCTTCCTGTCTGTGGGGGAGAGGCTCCCTGTGTGCCAGATGAGGGGCTCAAAGGCAGGGACAGAGTGACTGGTGTTAGCCTTGAAACAGCAAGGGCTGGGGAGGGCCCTGCCAGGAGAATCTGACTCTAGAACCGTCAGATACCCTGGCACAACCACGATAGGCTGGGGTCGGAGGTGCGGCGGTCTATTTCCAGCATATCTTTTTGGAGCAAACACACTCCGTTTCCTCAAGGTTCTTCCGGCTCTTACTCTGACACTGGAGCTGACCGGCAATTGTCCACCCCCACCATCCATTCTTTCTAGTAAATGCCAGCTTTGCAGAACTCAGGGTGCACTGGGGCCCAGCCTGCCTGGCCAACCACAGCCCCAGATTCACACACGCTCAGGGACTGGCTCACTGGTGAGCATCTGGAACTGGAAAAATCCCTCCCCAGTAGACTCAGTCAGTCTACAAGGGATGCCATCTTGCCTCCTCTTGGCTCCAGGCAGAAAGCAGAGTGGGAACTTGCCAGAACCAAGTCCAAAGACCTCATTTAAGCCCCAGAATGCTTCACCCATAGGAAGCCCAGGCGGCAGAGCAGCCTGTTCACTCCGATTACCAAAGCAGTTCCGAATGGTGGTTCTCTCACCTCCAACCCAAAGAATTCTGACAGAGCTTGACTCCCTACTTCTACTTCCAGGGGTTGGGGTGTGGCTCAGCTGAGGACCTACCCGCCTAGCATGCAGAAACTTCTGGGCTCAAGCTCCAATACTACAAACAGGAGGCATGATGGTGCAGGCCTAATATCCTAGCACAAGGAGGTGGAGGCAGCAAGGTCATCCTTGGCTATGCAGTGAGTTTAAGGACAGCCTGGGCTACATGTCTTGAAAGAAAGAGAGAGGGAGAGGAAAAAGGAGAGGGAGGGAGAGGGAGAGGAAAGGAGGGAGGGAGGAAGGAACGAATGAACAAGCAAACGAATGAAGGAACCAAAACAGCAAAAACAGAAACCTTGATGACCCACTTCAATGGTGGCAGCTGTAAGGAAGTCTGAACAAGACAGGGCTCTTCAAGTCCCTGCTCTCTGCAGTCTGCCTGGCCCTGCTTTAGCCTAGCCCGCAGAGGGGAACCCCATAGCTGTGATGGGCAGGACCCTGAAGGGCGACCACAGAGGACACCCTGCAGTCCCCCCGCCCCCGACAGGCAGCTCCCCTGGCAGGCTTCCCCGGACTATATAAAGTGCTAATCAAATATTGTAAAATGCTAGTCCGGAACAGATGGCTGCCATCTGCAGTGCTCAAACTTAACATTTGGAAAGCGCACAACTTTGCCTCACTGCTTTAAACCCAAGCAATACTTAGTAACCAACCCAGCAAGTATGGGCGGAAGATTATTTTCAGCTCAATTATATTACTTAGTCATTCTCAGTAATAACCAGTAGAGAAGTCGTGTGTGGGTCCACTGAGAGGAGCGGAACTAAAAATGTTTTAATTTAATTTAAAGTGTGGGTTTACTATTATTAAGGGGGCCATGAACCTCCCAACACCGTTACCAAAACTACAGGGGGAAATGTTCACTTCTCTTCTTCTGCGCTTTGCACTTGACCTCAGACTCCAACCCCCGCTCTGTGCGCTGTGACGGCTCCATCTTCCCGGCAACCACACAAGAAGCCACTTCAACCAAGCACTCCTTTTCCTTCTGTCCCCAGCCACTGGCTTTGAAATCCTATCAGATTCTACCTCTCTGCGCCTCTCAAGATTTACAGCTGCTAGTCCAGATTCATCCTGTCTCAACTGCTGGTCTGGAGCGGCAGACCTGCCTTTCAATCCACTTCCCTATCTGTTCACCAACAGCCCGACTGAACCTGAAACATAGAATTCAGGGCCCCCGGCCCTCTAAATCCCCCTGATGTCAATGCCTACACCTTGTTACTCTAGCAACTTCTCAAAATGCGGACTAGCTGCTTGAATGTATTTTAAGCGGACTATGAAGGGACATCTTTTCATCATAACGTTGTTATATTTACTTATATGAGTATGAGAGAAAAAAAATCCCAGTTTCACAGGAATTACGTTAGAACAGTTTCGGTTTCATTGTTTATAAAGGATGGGTACAGGAGTGTCCCAAGCGTGTACAGATGCAAAGGGGGAGCTGGCAGAAGCGGGGAAAGTGGCACTGAGTGAGGCAGGTGCCAGCCTCC